ATCCACCTCCCTCTATTCTCATTAGGAAAGCCAAACTGCCCATCAGTGTCTACATGGCGCCTTCTTCACAAAGTCTTTCTACAACATCCTATACCTAAACAGGATTATTTCCTTTTCACATTTGCTCAGCTGTAGGTGAAACTGCTATTCCGGCTTTTTATGTAATCCTTCACTACATTTTTTTCTTTGCCTGAGTGTTATGATCATAAGGCTCTTTCCAGAATGCAATTCAAAATGCAGCACAATCTCTGTCCTTTGATCTCATCCCTAAATGCTTTTGTATACATGGAATCATTGAACCACGTATTTGGTGGTTTTCTGAATCACATTTTCACTCAGTTATGAGTCCTCTTTATTATTTTCCCCATTTTCTCTACTTCAGTGCAGGATGAATTCACCTGATAATTTCCTTGTATGTTAAAAATTTAAAATCTTCACAAAATAACAATGTGGCAGAATTTAGGCTGGTAGATCATGCATTTCTGTGAATTTTGCATGTTTACTGAAGAATTTCTAGTTCCAAAGCCTCGATGCAAGCTCTTCTGATACCCTGTTTCCTTCCACTGTTAGTATGCAGCTATTAGGCTTTACTTAAATTTTTCTGGTGTTATGTAAATGCTTAGTTAAAAGGTTAATCACTGTGTTATTAAAGGAATAGAGGAGCTTAAAGAATTATAGTACATATTTAATTTTCTTTTATCAGAAAAGACAACACACATTTTGTGTCACTATAATAGAACGTAAAAAAAAAAAATAAAGTCTTGTTATGCTGTTACAAATTTTATATTTTCAAAGTTAAAAATACAGCATTGATTTAGCAGGCTTTGAAGCAGTCAGAGAGAAATTTCTTTAGATGTACAAATACCTAGACTTTGCTCTAAAGTACTCCTTAGTGCCTAGGCTGTTACACAGTAATATAAATTAGGCCAACTGGAACCAGTGGAGTTGGAGAACTCTGTGTAGTTTGCTACATGGAGGAAACTAACAAATATATATTCAAGTGCATTAAGAGTTTCACAAAAATCTTCGACTTCTCTCACTAGTACATCAAAACTTTATCGCCTTGTGCCATATGTAGAGTTTCCAAAGGGCAATAACTTCCAGTTGGGCAAGAAGGTTCCCATTCATCACCTAACTTTGCAATTTGAAACGAAATTCTAATCAGATTTTTAGAGAAGAACTGTAGATCAGCTCATTCTTCAATTACATTTAGGAATGTATGACCTGGGAAATGTTTTTTTTTTCCCTGCTAATGCTTTTTATTTCATCTATATGGTTGTGTGAGTGTAAATTCTTCCTTTTTATCTCATCCTTGCACCAGTGAGGCAGATCTAGCAGCATCCCTTAGGTCCCATGCTGTCTTGGAAACTGTTATTGCTCTACATAGCAGAAAAAGAAAAATGAAAAATTCCAGTCCATTGGAGCTTCTGCATGCTGAGAAGCCAGGTTTCTGTTCTCTCACGGGTGCTAGTGGACAAAACCTGAAAGATAAAGAAGTAGTTTTCATTTGTATTTGAGTAGTGTTTTTGTCATTTAAAAAGAATTGTTCCAGTTCCTGACAATGAGGCACATTCTGCTGCATGGGGAAAAAAAAAATTAAAAAAATTAAGATGCCTTTCAAACGTGGATTAGACTCTTCTGAATGTTTTGTCGTGCATAACTCACCATGACCTATGGCCTATGCCCATATATTTGTCAGAAGAGTAAAATCAGATTGCCCTACAACCAAGCTAAGAGCCTTACCATTATGGAAGCCAGAATTCACAGTGAAGAAATTGGCTGCTGTTCATTTGTGCATGGTGCTAATGAAAATACTGCATCAACATTTATTATAAGACATTTCCTAGTAATTCAGGAAAACAAATGTCAGTAGGTGCAGAGGAAAACAGTGAGAGTCTATGACTCTTAAGCAGAAAGACATAGGAAATCATGGTTTACTGAACTTTAAGACACCTCTTCTGGAAATCAGCTTTGAAAGAGGCTATTAAAATAAATGGAACAATCATTTGGTACTACTTTCCTTGTTCTTCCTTGGAATAGGAGCAAGAGATGTCCAGTTTCAGTAAATGGTCTGCATAAATTTGTAGTGATCCAAAGCAGGTGTGGGGTTCTGATGCAGAACCTGAACCCCTTACATTCTCCTGTCAATGGTTCTTTCCATGGTCATTTGATTTTTGTTGTTTGCTTTGTTGTTGGTTCTTTTGTTTGTTTTTGCTTTTTTGTTTTGTTTTGGGGTTTTGGTTTGTTGTTTTTTTTTCCCTAATAATCTCTCATGGAATTTCTGGGTAGAATCTGTCCATAGGCCTGTGGTAGTTCATAAAAGTGTGCATTTTCTGGAAGAAAAGTACCAACATTTTAGTAAAATACTTCAATAGTTTTATTGACACTTGCTGATTCTAAAAGTGAAGGAAAATTGGATGGAGCAGCAATACCCAAATAGAACTTCTGCCTGAAGAAATAATGGATTATCAATCCTGGGGAAGCCTTTCTGCTGTACCTACAGAACTGCACCAAGTTAAGCACATGCTGTTTGTTTTGGATTATATTGTACAGTAACTGAAAAAAAAAAAAATTTTACTCTGCAGTGGCTGAGAAATTAAAAACCATGAACTGAATTACCATCAAAATACATGGATAGTTCTAGGATATTATGCTTGAACATCCAAAAGCAAAGTGAAACTGAGTAAAAGAGCCAGAGGGAGGCAAATGATCTGCAAGTTGCTTCTTCACTTATGTCTGCCATTCCTGACTTATATTTTCTGAAGATCTTTGATTTGACCTACACTGCAGACAAGATTATAAAGTTTGTTCTGTTGTTTTGTTGTTTTTTTTTCCTCATGAGAACCCACAGCCTTATGCTACCAGTCTGTCTTATTTTGCTCACAAGTGTCTGTCATAGCAGACAGAGATAATCTTCAATGTACAGAAATATATCTTACATGAAGCAATGACGGTCTTGAGAGAATAAAATCTCTAAACACTTTCCAGTTTTCCAAGTAAGCCATGAAACAATTCTGACAATAAAAGCAGAAAATATTCTCTTCCTATTTGCAGGAATCTGAGAGTCCATTTCTGCTAAAATGAAATTAAATTAAATTAAATGATAAAGAAATACAAAGATTACTAGGAATCTTTCCAAGACTGGTAAGTATGACAATATTCCTTGTTGTATGAATCCAGAGAAATGACAGAAACCTGACACTAAATGTGAATAGCTTGAAACATACAAACCACTTATTTATAGCTATACGTATACGAGAGAGTTACAAAATGTTAGCTCCACTGCTGCTGTGAGGACTTGAAATTTCAGTTCTTTTGTACCATGAGGGTTCATTACTAGTAACTTAGAAAAAATATTTTCATCAGAATATCAGCAGTTCTGATAAAGTGTCAGGTCACGCCTATTAAGACCTTAATTGTCCCCATTATAGGAAATAACCATCAGATAAAATGAGCATTAAAGTTAGTTAATTTGTTAATTAGTTAGTTAACCTTCAGTTTAGAGGCTGAAATGCATTAGCTGGAAGAACTCACTAAGCTGTATTTCTTCCCACATTTTACTTCCAAGCAGAGAAGAAAAAGATGGGGGAAAAAAAAAAAAGTGGGGGAAAAAAGTATGCAAGCCACATGGAGATTCAAATCAGCCTATTTGTATATTTTCACAGTCTTAGATAGCAGGAATTCCATGCTATGCCATAAATTGTCATTTCATTAGCATGTCGTTTTCTTTTAGTCCTGAATAGATCTGCTCACCTATTTTTAGGACCTGATCATAGCCTGGTATCTAGACTGTGAAACACAACATTATTTCAGGCAGACCCTGAATAGTTTCATATTAAAAAGAAATCAATATGTCATTGAAAGTGAAGTAAGAAAGTGAGAACTTATCCATTGGTGTTAATATGGAGCTGCCAATAACCTGGAGAAAGAACCCTCTTGAAACAGTGCAACTTTGTATTTTACTTTGGAAAGGAGTAAAGTGGTGAATCTCCAGATGCTGTTATCAAAATAATATCCTTCCAGCATCGACATTTATTTATTGGAACAGAGATCAGTTTTGCATAGTGAAGTGTCCTGATTACAGATCATACTCAAAGGATCGAATTGTCAGCATTAACTCCATGGCCTGTTCAAATATCAGATTCTATTTCCTGATCAATTTTAAGAAATCACAATGCAATGAGAAGTGCTTTTTATACACTTCAAGATTAAACCCAAATATATCGTCATTGAAACTATATGACTTCTAATTTAACAAACGAAAGAGGCTTTGTTAAGGTTGTATGGAAAGAGTGATGCTAGAACATCAGCCTTCAGAGGGGCACGTTGGGTTTTGTGCCACTGAAATACAGAAGCAGAGGTAAAGTAACACCGGCTTCAGACACTCTGCTAAAGCACAAACGCGTCCCCAAAAGGCATTAACCAAGGCACCGTGGTTACAGAAAGGGCTTTGAGAGGGGTGATGGGATTCGGAGGGATGCGACTCGGCAGAGTGAAGCAGTTCTGCATGTCCGGGACCACGGGGTGAAACTGTGTTACTTCCTCAGCTTTAATATCAATTTACTCTGAGACCAGCCCTTCAAACCATTCTGGTATTCGCCCTTATCTGGAGAAGACCTTCTAAAGCACAAGATTTCACTTCTGCTGTGCCCATTTAGTCTATGGTATAATTTTAATTTAAAAGATAATCCGAAAGTTTCTCCCTCCGGAGGTCTCAGCGGCTCCACGCCTCGGAGTTTCAGGGCTCGTTTTTCCCTCATTTCTGCTCCTTCCAAAGGGAAACTGTATTAGATCGTAGGACAGACTCTCCCCTTCCCGTCCGGAAAGAAATGGGGTGCCTCGGCACTAAATTTCGTGAGGAAAAAGCCCCTTTTTGACAGGGAAGAAACACAACTGGCTCGGCGGCGGGCGGCCGGGCAGTTCAAACCCCACCAATCAGCGCGCGGGAGTCACTATAAAAAGGGGTGGCGACGCCGGCATCGCTATTGTTCCCCCTGAATTTGCCGAAGTAACCATGTCTGAGGTCGCCCCTGTTGCCGCGCCCGATGCGGCCCCTGCTGTCGCTCCGGCCCCGGCCAAGGCTACGGCTGCCAAGAAGCCGAAGAAGGCGGCGGGCGGCTCCAAAGCCCGGAAGCCCGCGGGCCCCAGCGTCACCGAGCTGATCACTAAGGCTGTGTCCGCCTCCAAGGAACGCAAGGGGCTCTCCCTCGCCGCGCTCAAGAAGGCGCTGGCCGCCGGCGGCTACGATGTAGAGAAGAGCAACAGCCGCATCAAGCTGGGGCTGAAGAGCCTCGTCAACAAAGGTACCCTGGTGCAGACCAAGGGCACCGGTGCCTCCGGCTCTTTCCGCCTCAGCAAGAAGCCGGGAGAGGTGAAAGAAAAAGCCCCCAAGAAGAGAGCGACCGCAGCCAAACCGAGAAAGTCAGCAGTCAAGAAGCCTGCCAGCGCTGCCAAGAAGCCCAAGAAAGCGGTGACAGCGAAGAAGAGCCCCAAGAAAGCTAAGAAGCAGGCGGCCGCTGCTGCAGTCAAGAAGGCAGCCAAGAGCTCCAAAAAGGTGACTAAGGCTGCCAAGCCCAAGAAGGCGGCGACAGCAGCGAAGAGTCCAGCCAAGGTGAAGGCGGTGAAGCCCAAAGCAGCTAAGCCCAAGGCAGCCAAGCCAAAAGCGGCTAAGGCGAAAAGGGCGGCGCCCAAAAAGAAGTAAATGATCCTGAAAAAAATCTCATCTGCTTTGCAGATAAACCCAACGGCTCTTTTAAGAGCCACCCAAGCTTTCTTAAAAAGGGCTGAAACACCTTTCTTTTGTCACTATTGGTACTAATTTCCGTTTTTTTTTGGCACTGCTTTTGTTTTGTCGGTCTGAAAACGGCACTAACTTACACAGATGCTGGCGGAGCCTCCCGCGGTACAGTCCGTTTCAACCCATAAAACCCCCCTGCGAGCCCAAAAAGTCCCCGTGAAGACTAGGCAGCGCTCACGCTCTCCTGGCTTCTGGGGTGGGGGGAGATTGCTGCGACTCCCCGTAGTTTATCCGATCAGCCGGAGAACGAAGAACCGCGCTCGGAAGCGCAGCCTTCCTGCCCCCTTCCCCCCGCCTCCCCGCAGCTCTGCCGGTTTCGAAAAGCCCGCGCTGCTCAGGGATTGGCCGCGATCTTCCGCGTTTTCTGCTGCGCTGCAGTTCTCGGGTTAAACAGAAGCCACGCTTTTTTTTTTTTGTTTGCTCTTCAGTAGGCGGAAGAGGCTTATGAACTTCCTGGGTACGTGGTCCCCCGCAGCCCTCCGTCCTCCCTCCCCTTTTTACCATGGGCGGAAGCCCTCAGCCCAGTTGTGCGCTTTGCAATCTCGTCCTACCCCTAGAATTCGAATGATGATCTGAGGCCGAGAGGCACGGCTTTTTGTAGCCGCCTTCTGAGCATTCCTTGGTGCTGTCCGCCGGTCTTCGACTCCGGTGCTGAACACCTTGCTCCTCGGAGCTGCCGGGTTCAGTCCTCAGCCGGGTCTGGGACCTCGTCCGAAGCAGCGCAGGGCGCGATAGGAACCCGCAGTGGTCGGAGCCTGCTGTACGTGTCTCCCAACCCTGCAGCTACTTCTTTTTCCAAATGAACTCTCCTTCCGTGGAGACGGGGAAGAAATGTGGGGGGAGAAGCTATTTCCTTGCTTTAATTATGGTGCTGGTACTACTACTTCCCCAACAAGCAGAAGAACTGGGCATTTAATGGAATTACTCTCTCAAGTTTCAATAAAGTTCTTTGTTACAAAGTCCCTAGCTGTTAAACTCGTATATCTGAAGGGATTACCTGGAAACAGGGTCCCTGCAACTTGGAGAAGAAATGGTAGGATTGGATTACACCGTTATTCTTACTTTCACAGAGACTGTCCATGCCCTAAATCCCTGAATTAAAATGGAAATACAAAGCAGAGCCTCTATTTTCAAACACTGTTCCTGAAACGCTGTTTCTACTCTTCCTCTGCATTGCATCTTAGGATGACTCTGACTTAAATCTTTGTTTGGGTTCATAACCTCTTCCTCTGTATAAGATACAGACCAGCATACACATCCCACTGTTTTTTTTTTTTTTTTTAAATTATCAGACCATATCCCTTCACCCTGACAGCCCTTATTTTTGAGCTCACATACCCATGCCTTGTTTGTTATGGAAGTGTGCCTACTAGATTCACATAGTCACCACAAGCAGAGGGTGCTGGGGGTCACACCCACTAATTCTTACCCAACTAAGTGCACTGACCTGAGCAGAGTGGGTCAACTGTGATTTTCCAGCCCACTAGAACTAGTAGGATATCGGGATATATTAGCTATTTAACTTAAATAAATAAGTTCTAAATAGTTAAGTCAGAATTAGCTGTCGTGAACTGTCCAGCCCATACTTAGGGACACTACAGGAATCAGCAAAGGCAGTGACCTTGGACAGCAGCTCTAAGACAGTGCATGGTTGCAATTCCAGCAATAGACAAAAGTGAATGGCCAAATTTAATGGACCCCAAAACAGTGTATGAAAAAGACTATTCAGCAGAAGGAAAGTGGAAGAAATGTGAAGCAAACTAAGATGATGATGGAGTATGGACAATTGGAGTGAAACCAATACTACAAAAGAGATATATAATTACTGTGGCTTGATGGTTCCATGAAATGACTCATGGGGGAGGAGAGGCAATAGTTAATCAGGTATAGAAAGCATGGGAAGCATCAGAAAATTATGCTGCTGCAAAAAGAATCACCAGTGACTGCCTGACTTGTCAAAAGTTTTTGAGTACCAGGCCAAGTTTAGTTAGGGGGGCAACCATGTGCTGACTCTTCTCTTCAGCAACTGCAAGTACACTGCACAGATATGCCCTCTGCTAATGGGTACAATCATATGCTTGTAATAGTAGATCAACTGTCAGACTGGGTGGAAGCCTTCCCAACAAGAAAAGCTGACATAGGAGGAATAATAAAAACTTGATTGAAAGAAAGTATACCTAGATATAGGGTTCCAAAATCAGTTCAGATGGATATAGGTGCTCATTTTACAGCAAATTCAATCAACCAACTATACATATTACTAAGAATAGAAAGTATGTTACATACACCATATCATCCACAGTCTTCAGAACAAGTGGAAAGAATGAACAGAACAATAAAAGAAAAGATAGCGAATGTATGTTGACACACTAAGTTAAAATGGCCACAATTACTAAATTTAGTTCTACAGGATGTTCAAAATGCTCCATGACAACCCGTAGGACCAAGAACAGCAGAGCTTCTCTTTGGGAAGCACTTTGCTATATCAGGGTCAGACCAGCCTTTGGATGGAGATGAATGGTTGACCCAACACATTTTATATATGCAGAAAGTGTTTCAAGATAAAAAGAGATAAACCAAATGGTGCCAGCCCATACTACCTGAAATATAAGTGCATGATATGCAGTCAGGAGACCAAGTCTTAATTAAAGTGTTTTCCTGAAAAGCAAAATTGGAACTCAAATGGGAGGTGCCATATACTGTTTTGCTGTGTTCCTATTTTGCTGTTCAAGGACTAGGAAAAGAAAACTGGGTACAATTGATTTCACATCAAAAAAGTTGTGGATAGCCAAACCAGTTGCTCAATAACAAATTCCTGAAAAACAACAAAGAATGAAGGGGGATATTTCACTCCTTCTGAAGCTGTCTACTCTAGCAAACCATACATCATGGCTAAGTATAAAATTAAAAAGAATGGGTGTCAAGTCCAGTCATTTTGTGCCTCTTACCAATAGTTACCCATGTATGTACTAAGAAGGATCTCACAATTTGAAAGATTTCAAAGTTTGTTCAGCATATTAGCAGAAATACTAATAAAAGCAAAGGGAGGATTGTTGAGAGATACTAGTTATTTACCTTAAATAAGTAAATTTTAGATATTTTGAGACACTTAGATTTATAATATTGTATGGTTTATTTTGCTGTTTGTCTAGCTTTACTTGCTCAGCATCAGCAGATTAATTTGCTGAAGCCTTATGCTGTAAGCTGTGGACTTTCACCTCAATATGCTTTTTGCTGGAATAAAGTTAGTTTTCTCAGTAATTTTCCTAGAAGCTGGTACAGGGCTGTGTTTTCTCTTTAGTGGGAGAAGAATGTTTTTAACATAGTGATGTTTTAGTTGTTGCCAAGTAATGTTTATCTTAGGTCTGGGACTTTTTTAGTGTCCCATGCACTGCCAACAGGCTAGGGTGCAAGAAGCACAAACCAGAAGGTAAGGAGGCTACTACTGTCAGCAGAAGCTGCCACTCATAAAAATAAGAACAGTTAATGGCCTGCCCCTGTGAAGGCAGGGAAAGAATCCAATAAGGTGTTAGAAGACCCCAGACAAAAAAAAGTCATCATTGGGCTAAAAAAGCATGAGGAGTGTGTGCATAAATCATAATTACCAAAGGGCTTTTCTGTTCAGGGTCCCTCTCCAGAGGCACCAAGCTCAAGCTGTTCCTTTCGCTGTACCACATAATTGTTAAATTATTTTCTCCTGGAATCCCATGACTGAGACTGCTTTGGGAGACCTGGGGCTGAGCATGAAGGAGGAGGAAACACACCCTAGAGCAAGCATGTGTGTGAGCAAGGAGTCAAAAGGAGCACCCCTCTTCTTATTGGAGTCAACCATTGCAAAGGGGCTCCAGTCCCAGGAGTTTTGGGTGGTATGTATGCAATCCCGTAAACAGTGTGTGAACGTTCAAGCAGCAGCTTCTCCACTAACACACATGTACGTTTTGGATGGGTATGGTCAAAGAGCTGGTTTGCTGCTGTAGGAAACATAATATTCATACTAAATTTATTTCTTTACAGCTGAACCCCAAAAGGCAAAACCCAGTTACAGTAGCATAGGCAAAACTGTATCATACACATCCCTGTTTATTGAATGGGACCTCAGAATGGTAAATCACCCTCAAAAATTGTATATGACTTTTTACTGATAAACATCTTTCTATTATAGGGTAACAAATTTTTTTCAGTGGCATAAGTCACATGTTAAAATACCACAAAACCAAGTAATTTCTGCACATGTATTCCTTTATCAGTTTGTTCTGTGTCATGGGCTCTGTTACTCCTGTGGGGTTTTTTTATGTATCTCTGTGTCTTTTTACTGTAGTTGTTGCCATGTGAGAATAAGAGTTTATTCTGCATGGCCTCAATGTGACTTCGAAAAAAAATAAAAAAGGTCTCTCTTAAAGTCTCACTTGTTAAAAACATCAAAGCTATATTTCAAGTGAAACTATTCCATTACTGCTATAAAAAAGCTTCTGCATTTGTTAGAGAAAATCAAAAGCTAGTCTGTGATAAAAGGCAGAATGATGCTAGTTCAAGTGAAGAGATGTTTAAAATAGGGATATGCAGCTGCACATCCTCAGCAGCAGTGAGCTCCCTAAGCTGAATAAAGCAGAGAAAGAGTCCTTCATAGTATCCTGGGGTGAGTAAATAGAGAGATGTAAATACGTAGATTTCAAGACTAAGTTTACAGGATCTCAAAAGGAAGGAGCTGAGCAGGGAGACAGCTATAGTGCATACACAGGAAGGCGGGGACAACTTTCAAGTCAAACATGAATATCAAGTCAACTATGAGTATCAAGTCGACTATGAATATCAAGTCAAATATGAATATCATGACTACTAGGCCTGTTTTCCACTGCTTGCATGGCAGTACAGATTTGGTCCAGCTTGAGTTCAGGTACAGAATCACTTTTCACCTAGAAACCTTTGACTTAGCAGGGTTTTCCTGCCACAAATGTCTTTTTTACTACCTA